AGTGTTAAGTGCTTGTGGGAGATCCAGCCTGATGTTACCCAAGTAACTAATTAGTTAGGGTTTTCTGACTTAGATGAAATTCTCTCTGAATATTTTTGATATGTTAACGTGGTATTTATTGAAAGAGTTGGAAGCATGCAAACTACTTATAAAGGAATACTTGCATTTTACAACTGACAGATTGCTTTATTCTGAATGGCTCATGACAGACTTATTTTTTTGTATTTGAGAGACGTTTGACTTTGTCACAGTTTTGAAAATATGTTATTTTTGGTATGTTTAGATGGTGGGTTTTCAAAAACAGTTAAATATTACAACTAGGCTTGCTGCGTTTTGTTTTTTTCCCATTCAGTTTCCCATTAAATATACAAGTATAACATCTGGCACTCTTCTTTTTAAGGACTCTGAAAAAGCTACAAGGATTAGACTTAGCACTTGACAAATCATCCAACTATAATATTTTCATCTAGAGTTGAGTCTGAAGCTGACTGAAATGGCCATGTCAGGAACAGTACTGTGTAATGTCACAGAGGAGCCACTTAGGAGAATTCCTAATATGGTCGGGACATTCTTGAGATGCATGGAATAGCCCATTTGTATGGTATCATCTAAGATGGGAATGCAGCTATAACATGTCAAGTGACAGGATCCACAGAGCACTTCTTTTCTGTTATCTGTCAGACTATGGCCTCGTTGCCTGATAATGGTAGTTCTTCTTTCTTTGCTTCATTTTTCAATAGCAAATCCTTGGACTCTGAACTGGGAAGTTCCTTACCCGCTTGAAAGTCATATATTCTTAGAGTTGGAAGGAACCTCAGTAATTAACTTAATCTGAACCCTGGCATTTTTGCACATGAGAAAAATGGGACACAGAGAGGTTAAACAATTTGGCCACAGTCATCCAGATAATTATTGAACTCTCCAGCCCCCTTTGACTCCCCCTTCCAAATGGGCAGAATGGCAGCCTCCCTCTTCCTTTTAGTTTCTTTGCCAGAAGTTAGTCTTTTTTCACATTATGAAGCCACTTGGAAATAACCTAACTCCTTTGAAAGAAGAAACGACATGTTTTACTCAGCAAACTTATTTTTGTTTTTTTCCAAATGGGTCTTCATTCTAACCCAGTGTGACTCCTCTTTCTTCTGAGAGAGCTTTCACGGCCCCGTGTGACGTCTCTCTAATGGCCAGCGCTACCCAGCTGGATGTCTGCAGAACAGTTACAGCAAAGCCCCATGCACCTTGGAGCATGGCATTGCCTCTGAGTTCAGGAAAGGAGAGATGCTAGAAACTGGTCAGCACCTTTGCCAGAGCCCTTGGAACGGATGATACCAGGAACTTCTCCAGAAACGACCATTTATCAAAATGAAACTTTTGAAAGGATCCTTGATTCTGAAATTAAAAATCTCACACTAGTGTCCTGGGACTGAGCACCCCTGTGACTCCTGAGACCTGCAGACTTCGCTGCCACTGGAGGGCGGGCGTGGGGTGGGCGAGGTAGTCCCTGGAGCCTGGCCCAGCCAGGGAATGCATGGGAGACTTGAAAATGAGTTTGAGTGAGAAGAGGGAAACTTACCGTTTACTGTCTCAGCTTGTGGGGAAAGGATTTGGGAGCCTTGTGCTCAGGAAACATAATGTCTGCATAGTCCTTTCTCTCTACACTTTACCCCAACAAAATAATGGTCTGGGTGTGGGGTTGGTGGGGGGGCTGCGGGAGGAGGTGGTAAGCTTTGCTCTGGCTCTGTTGTGTGTGCTCTGGGACTAAGTGCTGGGGTTTCGAAAGCCAAAACCCATTTCTCTGCTCCTGCTGGGACATCTCTTCTGTGAGGCGGTGGACACTACAGGATCCTCCTTCTGGAAAAGGCGGGGGGGGGTGGGTCTCAGGGGATAAGACGAGGAGGGGGAAACATCAATTACTAGCTCAAAGCCGAATCCTGCTACATTTGTAAGAGCTCAGTTAAAGGAAAACAGGGACTGTTTAGTACGATGTTCTCAATCTGAGCTGTTTCCAAGAGCAATAAATGAGTGCTGTTATCTGAGCTAAGCACACAGAATGATGAGAAAATGCATCCTGGTGGATTATCCTCAAATCTTTGGAGTAAACAGAATTTTTTTCTTGCTGTGGCAAAGCTTAATTCTGTACCAAAATGGTCATAGAATATTGGAATTTTATGGGAACTCAGAGATGATGTGTGCTGGGTCTTCTCTGTCTTCCCAGATCTAGTCTTCCCCCTACTCCACATTGTTCTGAGCCCTGGGACACTGATCTCCAAGGATCACATCTGTGGGCTTACCTGCCCTTTGGCTTCTCCTTGGATTTGGCCATTAGGAGGTACCCACTTCACCATCCTTTGGCAGTTTTCCTTACCCTTGTCCATGACTTGTAAATAATCCCCTTCATTAAAACTCCCATTTGAGTGTGTAATCTCTGGGACTCTAAATATGACTGTTTTACAGATGAGGAAACTGGTGTACAGAGAGGCCCACTGGCTTCTCCGGTGGTATCTCTTTTCTGCTCCTTTTCCCTGCCATGGTTGGACATTTGTAAATCGAGATCCCCAAGACCCTGGGATGCTGGCCTGGGGATGAGGGAGCTGTAGTCTGTTCTGCTCTAATGTGATGGCACATTTCTAAGAATTTTCCTTTCTTGGTGGTCTTAAAGATGGTATTTTACATGATTTATGCATATGATGGAATAGTATTCAGCCTTTAAAAAGAAGGAAATCCTGTCATTTGCAACAACATGGATGAACCAGCCAGTCCTTCATGATTCCACTTATAAGAAGTGTCTAAAGTAGTCACACTTGTAGAGCAGAAGGTAGAGTGATGGCTGCCAGAGGCTCAGGGAGGTGGAAAAGGAAAGTTGCTGTTGAATGGATATAAGTTTCAATTATGCAAGATGGACAAGTTCTAGAGATCTGCTGTACCACATTGTGCCTGTAGTTCACAACACTATTATACAGCTAAAAGTTTGTAAGTGGGTAGATTTCTCTCTTATTTTTTTAATCATACACACAGAATAAGAAGCAAAAAAAAAAAAAAAGAGGTATTTTAATAGGTTAAAAAGTCACTGGGGAAAGGACACACCTCGGGGAGGATTCTGTCCATGAGGGGGTGGCTGGGCTAGTGGAAAGTCAGGAAATGCCTTCTTAGTCCATTGGGGAAGCACCTGTGTCAGGGCCTGGCTGGAGAAGGGGGGCTAAATTTAACCCCCACCGTCAGCCCAGTGCCTTGAGCACTCATCTCCCTACTTCAATGTGTGACTGGTCAACATTTCTGGTCATGCTTTTGACTGTGCGTGTGTGTGTGTATGTGTGTGTTTGAGTGTATAAAAGAGAGAGAGAGAGAGAATGAATTTGCATTCTTCCTTTTATGAACTTTCCTAAGTTCTCTGAGGTCTTTTTTTAACCTCTCATATTTCACTGATTCTAAGACAAGTTTTATTTTTCTCACATTTTGAAACTCTGCTACCAGAATGTGCCTACAACCAAAAACATCTTTTGTTGCAGTTGGTCAGGTGGTAGTTGTGCTGTAATTGCATCGCTTGGGCGTGTGTGAACTTGGTAGTTCTGGTAGACTGACAAGACAACTGAAACCCCTATTGTTTCAGTCAGTGATCCATTTGATGACCATCTGAGAAAGGAATGCAAGTCCTCGGTGTTGACTGAGATCTTCTGGCATCTATTAGTAAGATTTTCTTGCCAACACTTGTGGATAACTATCAGAAGCTTAGAAGAAAATCCCGAATACGATACTTGAGCACTCTTTTAGGAAATGCTGCATTACTAAAGCTCTTGGTGGCAGAGAGGACAATATTGTGTGGGAAAACACACTCCCTGAATATTGTGTCAAATGTGATTCATAGAGTGGCTTCTGAATGGGAATACCTAAACCAAAGTAATTTGCATACCTAACCAATTTATTCCACTTTTCATGTTTTCCTTTTTTATGGATATGATAAAACGCAGGCCTTACATAAGTCCAGTAGAGCTCTTTCAATAAGTATGAAATAAAAGTTCTAAATTGTAGTGTATCACAGTTTAATGTGCAGCTGGTTTTTTCTTCCTTGTTGTTATATAAAACAGCATTGTCTCTTACCATCAGTGAATCTTAACAATCAATGATATGTGGTAGGAAAGTAGGAAGTCTATTAAATTAGCAGCATGAATCAAAAGATGGGTTAGAAAGCTAAGGGGTGAGGAATGAGTTTAGAAATTCTTTTACTGTTTAAATATTTATTAAGTTTTACTGTGAGACGAGGGGCTGGGCGAGGCATAAGGTTATAGCTGTGAACAAAACAGACGTGATCCCTGGGCTCACAGGCAAGACAAGATCTACTGAATTAGTAGTTGCGTGCATGATATTACAGAAAAGTGCCGACTTCTTTGGAATTGTAAATAGGGGAACTTAAGATGGTCAAGGGGAGCAGATGGCTGACTGAAGAAGTAACACTTGAGTGTAGAATGGAAGGACAAGTAGGACTTAGTCAGGTAGAGTGAGTGGGGAAGGGAAGAGGGGTAATCATGGCAGAGGGAGAGAACAGTGTGTATGAAAGCAGGGAAGTGGCAAGGAAGGAGAAGCTGAAGGAAGTGCGGTGTAGTTGGAGCACGGACAGTGGTACAGAGATGAGAAACAAAGCTAGAGAAGTAGGTGGGCCTCAGATGATGAAGGGCTTTATAGGACATGACAAGGAGGTTGCCCAAAAGTAAGAGGAAGCTGTGGAAGGGGTTTCAGGAGGGGTGTAATGTGTCATGCTCAAATTTTAGCATTGTTGTTCTGGCTGCTGTGCAAAAATGGAATGCTGTAGGTCAAGGGCAAATGAAAAGAGCATGGTAGTAGCCATCCTCACTTGATTCGAGGGAAGGAAATTGGAATGGGCAGAAGTTATCAAATGATGCAGGGGAATTCTGGAGCAAGCGATAGTTCCCATCACTGGTTGCATTCCTCAGATATTCTATCCTTAGTTCCTGATAACCTAAGACAATAACTTTCTTTGTTTTCAACAGAGTGACTTCTTCTGACTTGAGCCTACAGTGTGCTTTGAGAAATCTGCCACCAGGTAAATACAGAACAAGAGTTTTTAGGTTGATAAGCCACACTTCTCTCCCAAGACTCCCTAAGACCTAAATTCAACATCTTATTTAATCCTTGCAATAACCCTATGAGTCAGGTGTTGCCTTATTTCCATCTTGTACATGAGGAAATTGCGGAACAGAGAGGTTAGGCAACTTTATCAACATGCACAAAGATGTTTATCGCAGCATAAATTATAATAGCCAAAGGAAACAAAGAGGAGAGAATCTAAACACCCAACAGTAGTTAAATTGTATCAAATCAATTATGGTACATCATTTGATGGAGGTACTTTACCAATATTCTTTATCAGATTAAGAAGTTTCTTTCCTACTCCTAGTTTGTTAAAAGTAAATTAGTTCACCTGTACATTGAATTTTATTGAATGATTTGCTAATCTGCTGAGGTGATCAAATGACTTTTACCCTTTGATAAAAATTTTGTTCATGGTGATTTACATTAATTGATTTTTTAATGTTAAGCTACCTTGCATTGCTAAGATAAAACCAACTTGGTCATGATACATTTTTGTACTCAGTGAGATGTTGTTTGTACTCAGTGAGATGTAGTTTGTTGTACTCGGTGAGATGTAGTTTGTTAAATTATAGTCCTGAGATTGGCTAAAATTTTCCTGTCTAGTATTTTCACTGTCAGGAATGGTTTTCAAAATATTAGAATTACTGGCTACTTGAATGTGTGATGAAATCTGACACTAGAACAGTTTGGGTGTGGAATTTTTTTGAGGGAAGAACTTTCACCTACTGTTTTAATTTCTCATTTATTTAGATTTTCTATTTCTTCTTGAGTTAGTTTTGGTAAGTTTTGGTTTTGGCTACATATACACATTTCTTTTGGCTTTGTATGCAAGAGGGGAATTTCTGGGTCTTGGAGTAGGTGTATGTTCAGCTTTAGCGACTCTATGAAAGAATTTTTCAAAATGGTTGCATTGATTTAAAAATTTTCATCTCAATCAGGAATATGTGATGGTTCTGATTTTCCATATTTTCCCAATACGAGGTATTTTCTGTTTTTGTTAGTTTGATTGGTTGTTTTTTTATTTAAGCTCTACTGGTGGGTGTGTAGTATCATATTGTAGTTTTAATTTGCATTTCCCTATAGACCAGTGAAGTTAAGTACATTTTCATATGTTAATTGACTGTTCATATATCTTGTTTTATGAAAGTCCTTCTCAAATATTAAAAAAATTGAGGTGATTATTCATGTTTTTTTAAAAAAATATTGAATTGTCTTACTGAATTATCTTTCTTACTGAATTATAGACATTTTTAATAATATGTATTCTGGATTTGAGCTTTTGCTAGGATATATGTGTTGTAAATATCTCCTCTTTTTCCTGTGGTTTACCTTTCACCCTTTTTTTAATGAACAGAAATTCCTTTAAAATAGTGCAAATTATTTGGTTTTGTTTGTTTGTTTTTTTCCTTTGTGGTTGGCACTCTTGTGTCCTATTTAAGAAATCTTGGCCCTATTTCAAGATCAGAAAGATGTTTTCCATTTCCTTCTGAAAGCTATATTATTCTACTTTTACATTTTGATCTATAATACATCTGCAATTGATTTTATTGTGTATGATGTGAAAGAGAGGGTCAAGATTAATTTTTTCTATGTGGATACACACTTGACCAAGCACCATCCTTTGGCCATAGTTCTATTTATCTATTTATTTATTTTAGTTAGGCTTCCTGAGGAATGATCAACACAGTAAAATTCACTCTCTTGAAATTTATGGTTTGATAAGTTTCAACAAAGATACACAATCACGTAGCCACCACCACAGTCACAATGCTATAGCCAACAACTGAAACAGTGTTCCTTTGTAGTAGATCTACTTTCCCTACCTGCAGCCCTTGACAACTACTGATCTGATTTCTGTCCCAGAATTTTTCTTTATTCATAATATGTAAATGAAGTTGTAGAGTATGTAGATTTTCATTTCAGACTTCTTTCACTTAGCATAAAGTTTTTGAAATTCATGCGTGTTTTTGCCTATATCAGTAGTTTGTTCTTTTTTATTGCTGAGAGGAATTCCACTGTGTGGATGTACCACGATGTGTTTATCCATTCACCAACTGATGAACACTTGGGTTATTTATAGTTTTTGGCTATATGAATCAAGCTACTGTAATCATTAGTTAATGGGTCTTTGATAGATTTATGTTCTCGTTTTTCTTGGTTAAGTTACTAGCAGTCCGTTTATTGGATCAAATGGTAAGCATAGCAACTGTATGTTTAATATTATTTGAGAAAAATCCCTCTGGCTGTTTCAAAAGTGACTGTTTCATTTTGCATTCCATTCAGCAATATGTGAAAGTTTTACTAGCTCCACAGCCTCCCAGCACTTGGTATTAATAGGCTTTGTAATTTTAGCAATTTGAGTTGGTATACAGTGGTACTTCATTGTAGCTTTCATTCTCATTTCCCTAGTGATTAATAATGTCGAACGCCTTTTTCATGTGCTTCTTTACCGTCTGTACATCTTCTTTGGTGAAGTGTCTGTTCAAATTGTTCACCTTTTTTTAAACTTACGTTACCTATCTTTCTGTTACTGATCTATAATTGAATATATTGGGGATACAAGCCCTTTATCAAATATGTGCTTGCAAATACCTTTTCCCAGTCTGTGACTTGTTTTTTTCATATTCTTAAAAGTGTTATTAAAAGGGCAGAACTTTTGGGGTGCCTGGGTGGCTCAGTCGTTGAGCGTCTGCCTTCGGCTCAGGTCATGATCCCAGGGTCCTGGGACCGAGCCCCACATTGGGCTCCCTGCTCAGCAGGAAGCCTGCTTCTCCCTCTCCCACTCCCCCTGCTTGTGTTTCCTCTCTCTGTGTGTCTCTCTCTATCAAATAAATAAAATCTTAAAAAAAAAAAAAGAAAAAAGGGCAGAACTTTTTAATTTTCATGAAATTCAACTTACCAATTTTTTTCTTTTATGGGTATAAGCTTTTTGTCCCAAGAAATCCTTCCTAAAACCAAGAATACAAATATGTTCTCTTTTTTTTGGTAAAAATTATATAGTTTTAAATTTTACATTTAGTTATATGATACATTTCGAGGTAATTTTTGTATCTGGTGTGAGGTAAAGGTCACGGTTCACATTTTTATATGGACGTCTAGATTTTCCAGTACTGTGTATTAAAAAAGCTATTCCTTTGTCCTCTTTAATTACCTTAGCACTTTTTTCTCTCTCCTCCTCCTCTGGTGCTCTAATTACATGCATATCAGACTATTTGATATTGTTCTATAGCTCTTGGATACTTAAAAAAAATTCTCCTTTCTCTTCGGATAATTTCTATTGATCAATCTTAAAGTTTACTGATTCTTTCAATGTGTCCTGTCTCCTCATCAGCCTATCAAAGGAAACCTTTACTTTTCATATGCATTTTTTTATTTCTAGAATTTCTCTTTGTTTCCTGTAGTTTCCATGTCTCTACTGATTTTTTCCATCTTTTCTTGCATTTTATTCTTCTTTTCCATGAGCACCTTTTACGTAGTAATCATAGCTATTTTAAAATTTCAGTCTGAGTGTTCCACAATCTGAGTCATCTCTGTCTAGTTGCTCTATCTTGACAATGGGTTGTTTTTCCTTAGTTTTAAAAATATGTCGGGCGCCTGGGTGGCTCAGATGGTTAAGCGTCTGCCTTCAGCTCAGGTCATGATCCCAGGGTCCTGGGATCGAGTCCCGCATCAGGCTCCCTGCTCCTTGGGAGCCTGCTTCTCCCTCTGCCTTTCTCTCTCGCTCTGTCTCTCATGAATAAAAAAAAAAAAAAGTATGTCATAATTTTGGTTGAATGCTGAATATTATTTATATAAAAGTAGTAAATAATAGGGTAAATAATATGGCTACCCAGAAATGGCACACTTCTTCAGTAAGGCGATTAATGTGAGGGTTTGTGTGGCTTCCTTAATCTTGTTAGCAGATGACAAGATCAGTAGTTAGTAGGGAGTTAGTAGGATGGGGTTGGGCTCTGGTTCCTGGAGTTACCTTCAGCCCACCAGACTCCAGCATTCTCCCGTGGTGGCCTGTAGTTACCTTATGCTTAGTGCGGCTAGTGTGCCAGAGGTTTTTTCTCACTGCCCAAAATCCATCCTTAGCTTTCAGCAGACCCACCACACCTGCTCCACTGAAGGGATCTCTCTCCATGTTGGTGCTCATCCAGGAGTGGACTGTTCTTGCCCTGTGCTCAGTGTAATGGCAGTAGCTGTGGTGGGGGGGTGTCCGTTTTCCTGGTCCAGCCGCAGTCTTGGGAGGCCTTGTGTGTCTGGACTTCAGGACCTGGTCTTCGTCCCCGTTCCTGCTCCTCTTCATGGCAGTCAACCTCTGCCTCGTGTCGGTGGGTATCTTGGGGAGAGAGGGCTTCCTGCCCCTCCCTGAGTCGTAGCAGACCTCTTCTTCGTGTCAGTACCGGACTCTAGGTCTGAGAGTTTTTTGTCTTTCCATCAGGGCAGATAGATAGCTTTTGCTTCTGCCCTTCTCAAGAATCAGGGGCGCCTGGGTGGCTCAGTTGGTTAAGCGACTGCCTTCGGCTCAGGTCGTGATCCTAGAGTCCCGAGATCGAGTCCCGCCTCGGGCTCCCTGCTCAGTGGGGGGGTCTGCTTCTCCCTCTGACCCTCCCCCCTCTCATGTGCTCTCTCTCTCATTCTCTCTCTCTCTCAAATAAATAAATAAAATCTTTTAAAAAAAAAAGGGGGGGGCGCCTGGGTGGCTCAGTCGGTTAAGCGGCTGCCTTTGGCTCAGGAGTCCCAGGATCGAGTCCCGCGTTGGGCTCCCTGCTCGGCGGGGGGTCTGCTTCTCCCTCTGACCCTCCCCCCTCTCATGCTCTCTCTCTATCTCATTCTCTCTCTCAAATAAATAAATAAAATCTTTAAGAAAAAAAAAAAAGAAAAAAGAAACTCTTCCTCTGGGGCGCCTGGGTGGCTCAGTCGGTTAAGCGGCTGCCTTTGGCTCAGGAGTCCCAGGATCGAGTC